TGCGCTGAGTGGCCAGTGTGACCAAGGGAAGCCAGCCCCCCCCCCCAGCCTCACACAGAGAAACACACTTGCTCAGCGCTTTCTACACCTGCGGTGGGGAGATGGTGTGAACGAGTGAGCCACCTTCACGTGCGTGGGTAGAATTGTTATTTTTCCTTGGCTTTGGTCTAGATGCTTCCAAATCCCAAGTAAGGACCCACCTGGGAGGAAGCTAAAGGTGAGAGCCAGTTCTGCCCTCCTCAGTTCTGTGAAGTAAACCCCACGACCTCAGCCACTCGCCCACTCCAAAGACCCAGCCCCGCCCCACGCTCCCCAGGCTTGCTCCTGGGTCAGGGCCACGAGAAGCAGCGCCAGGACCCAGCTGGGATTCCCACTGAGCATAGTGTCTGGCACCTGGCAGGCTTTTTTCTTTTTTAAAAGTTTTTCACCCAAGTGGTTCATGGCTGTGATCCTAGCTACTCAGACTGGGATGCGTGGGTCACAGTTCAAAGCCAGCCCAGGCTCTGAGATGCGTGGGTCACAGTTCAAAGCCAGCCCAGGCTCTGACATGTGAGACTCTTCCTCTCCAATTAACCAAAAAAGCAAAAAGCTAAGGGACAGCGTCCAGGCCTTGAGTACAAGCCCTAGTACACGTGTACACACACACACACACACACACACACACACGGTTTCTCTTTCTATAATAACAGCTCATCTCAGGAGGAGAGAAGATTGGAGGAGACATGTTACATCATAGAGGCTGGTTGTGGTGTGTGTGACTGTGCCCTAAATGCACCCCCTTCCCCTTCCCCTCCCCCTGCCCCCCTCACTCACCTCCCCCTCTCCGCAGGGCTCTACGTGCAGGAGATGGCCGACCTGGACACTGCCAAGCTGTACTCAGGACTGCTTGGGGTGGGGGACGAGATTCTGGAGGTGAACGGGGCCAAGGTGGCTGGGCTGGGTCTGTCTCACATTCAGGAGCTGCTAGCCCACTCGGAGAGCTTATCAGTCCGTGTCCTGAGGCAGAGGCCTGTCCCGCGGTGACCCAGAGGCCTCCCCTCCCTGTCCCCCTGACCCCGTCCCAGGTCGGAGGTGCCTGGGGAATACCCTGCGCACTGCTGCTTTGTGGACCAGTGGCGTCCAGGCTCTGAGGCTGCAACGGCTTTGTTGATTGGCCACCAAACAGACAGCAAGGAGCCTGTGTGTATTGCATTTGAGGCCATTAATTTATGCAGAACGGGAAAGGAAAACAATAACAACTCTGCTCCTTCTGTGACCCAGGCGGCCAATGGAGGGAGAGGTCGCAGGTCCTTCCCCCACCTTGAAAAGCCCCCCTCCTCCAGCCCTCCAGAACCGGAGTGCCCCCTCCACCCCCTGCCCCCGGCCTTGCCCCTTCCCTCTCAGCCGCAGCTCTCCTCTCTCCCACACACCACCTCTGCACCTTTTGCAGACAGGGCACAGCGTCCCCTGCCCTTAGTCACAGCCAGGAAGCATATATCCAGACCAAACATCAGGATGTATGGCCTGACTAGAGTTTTATGCTCCTTCTGGCAGTAGGAACATCTACGAGACGTGATCTGGCGGCCAGAATATTAAGAATTTCTAGGAAATTTGCATGCTATATAAAGATGGGGCAGGGAGAAACTCTAGCCAGTTTCAGGGAAGCACAACCACGGTGGCCAGGTTGCAGGCGGTGGGAGGTCAGCCCAGCCCAGGCTGCGCCTCTGCCCAGCGGAGGCTGAGGTGCCGCAGCCGGGCCTGGCCTTTGTTCTCCTGTCCGGCTGGGAGACAGGGCTGCAGCTGGTGTCTGGCTGGGCCCCAGCTGCAGATTCCTGTCCAGACCTCCCTGGTGGCAGCTGTGGGTGGGCGGGCAGGCGGCGGGGAGGCCACAGAGAATGGGGACAGCCATCCTGCTTGGACACTGACCAGGGCCTGGGACTCTGTGCAAGTGCATGGCCATGTGTCAGTCTTAAGTTATTAAAATGCAAAGCTCAAGTTCTTTCCAGTCTGAGTTGCTGAATTCTGAGATCACTTGAACTTCGCTCGTCTTGAAGGCCTGCAAGGGGGTGGGGGGGGGGGGGGTTGGGAGAACCTCTGGGGTTGGGGTCAAGGCTGGAGGCCTGAGGTCAGGCAAACGGTCCTGGGGACCCAGGTGCTCCACACACGCAACCTGCGGACAGAGGCCGGTTGAAAACGGCCCTCACTTTCCCTGGGAAGAGCAGGGAGTGCCCTGCCTCGCTGCAGGCGTCCTGAGGGGTGACCTTAGTGGGACGACCCCTGGGGCCCCCTCCGGAGTCCCCAGACTTGAGGCAGGACAAGGAGAAGCATCTTGAATTTTGGAATCTAGGTTAACCTGGAAATTGAGGATGTGTAGTTGTGCCCACCCTTACTGTTCACCTGCTCTGCACACATTCCCAAGGGCTGATGGGGTCGTTAAGGCTGCAAGCCAGCATCTGGGAGGGACACTACAGCACTTCCCTCCAGGGTCCAGCGAGGAGTCTGGGATGCACAGGATACAAGAGGCAGGACTCACACGCAGTGGTCTGACCCAGCCCGCATCCTCCCTCGCCACGCTGCGGCTCCTCAGCCCTGCCCTGGGAAGTGGGGTGGGAGCTCCAAGGCAGAGCATGGCATTATCTCCACCCCACCTGCAGGTTATAAAGCCAGCACCGTGAGTGCAGACCAGCACGCAGAAAGGGGCGGTGGGGGTATGGAGCCGGAATTATCCATCAGACTTACCTGGCAATAGTTACCCAGTACATCTGCATGAACCACTTCCTACCCCCAATCCTCAGGCTAGTTCTAGAGCTATCCAAGTCCAATCCTCCCTCACTCCCTCCCCACCATCCTCAATAGTTTCTCTTTCCTGTGGAGCCAGAGCACCTGCTTAGAAATGGCAACAGCCTTCCTTGGCAAGTGGCTCTGCCCGGCTCTCACGGGCTGTGGCTTTGGCCAGGTCGCAGTGTTGGACCCTGAGGAAGGGACTGCTGGGACTGGCTCAGATTCTACGCTCACGGAGCCAGGGCTTCACAGCTGCCCTGCTGGTCCTGAGGGTATGGGGGGGGGGGAGGAGGGGGGCTCTCCCGCGGATGCTCAGCCATCCACTACGCCTGTCTGTCTCCCCCTTCCGCAACCTGGGTCCAGGCTCCTATTCACCACATGGAGCTGTCCTTACAGCTAGGGTGCCCACAGCTCCAGAGCCCAGAGAGCTACGATGAGCCAGTGTGCCAAGGATCACAACAAAAGCCCACGGGAGGGAGGAGGCCCTACTCCACCTGGGGACCAAAACGGCCTCCCAGGAGAGGCAGCCCCAGAACTGTGGTCCCCAGTTCACCAACCTCCATCAAGCCTGACACTAAATTAGGGACAAGGAATGCAGGCCATGCTAGAAGCTCCCATCTTGGGAGTCTTGGAGTCTGCAGGCCGTTCTCAGTTTACAGCATAAACGGCTTGCTTATTTCTTGTCAAATAAACAAAATGGACTAGATTTCTTGATTCTACAGTGGGTTTAAATGCTTTCAGGCATGGTCAAGTCCAAAGCAACTGGTATCCATCCATGCTTTGTCTGAGGCACTTCTAGTCCAAGCTTTCCATCCTCAACTATCTTCAGTGGTTCTGATGCCCTTCCTCTCCTCAGCTGTGTGCTACCCTGTCTCAGGTTAGAACGGCTCAGTGACACATCTACCTGCCAACACTGGTATCAGACTAGCATCTCTGTTCTCTTCAGGGAGCTGAGTCAGACATGGGTTCATAGTTCTAGCAACCTGTTCTCCCTACAGCCTTGGTTAAAGACCAACCAGCAGATTAGATTCTCTATGAACATTAGCTAGACTAAAAAAGCTAGAAGCCGGGTGCTGGTGGCTCATGTCTGTAATCCTAGCTACTCAAGAGGCTGAGATCTGAGGATCATGGTTCGAAGCCAGGCCAGGCAGAAAAGTCTGTGAGACTCTTATCTCCAATTAATCATCAGAAAACCCCAAGTGGCACTGTGACTCACAGTGGTAGAGTGCTAATGATGAGCAAAAGAACTCAGGGACAGCACCAACCAAAAAAGAAAAAGAAAAAGCTAGATACAAATTTTGAAACTAGACCATGTACAAGCTGATGAGTTTTTCTCAAAGGCCAGCATGTCAGTAAAAGGTACAGAGAGCGAATTCCCTTTTGTTCTAGTCATTCTGTCCCAATGGAAACTCTGTCCTGTAAACTATTTTGAACATGCGATATGTTTAGTCTGAGATTTAAGAATTCATGTAGCTGGCCAGGTGTTTAGCAAGCCATGTGAATTTAGGTAGAATTTAGGAGGAACACAGTCCAGGGACAGCCCTGGGCAAAACTCTTGAGAATATCTGAAAAAAATAAAGCAAAAAGGATTAGGGAAGTGGTTCAAGTGATATAGTCTGCCTACTAAGTTCACAACCTGAGTTCAAACCTCTGTACTGCCAAATGAATAAATAAATAAATATTGGTAGCTTGTAGTCCGAGAAAGAACAATTCATCGTTCTAATCTTCCAGCACCTGTTAAATTTCCTAACCCCAGAAAGATGTCTATGTCAATATTTATCAGTGGGGGTGAACTGGGGATAGGGAGAGGTGTGTGAAAACAAGAATGAGAAGCACCAGTGACAAACACAACACTAATAATCTGTTTCTCTTTAATACTGAACATTCTTCTTTTATACAGTAGTGGCTTGATTTCAAGAGCAAAAGTAAGAAACATTACCAAAAGACTTCAGGACATAAAATTACCATTTTGAGGGTGGCTAGGTATTTTGTTTTACAAATTTTTTTTTGTGGGGGGAGGCAGTGGAACTGAGTTTGAACTCAGGGCTTCATGCCTGCTCAGGTGGCGCTCTACCACTTGAATCCTTTCCCCAGTCCCTACACAAGTATTTTTTTTTGGACATTTTCAAGTTTTTGTTGTCATCAACTTTGAGGACATTTCATTTTTCAGTTATGTTTTCCTGGAGCCTGAAGTCCACAATGCAACCATGGCTCTCAAACTTAAGCATGCACGGGAATCCCTCAAACAGAGGACATTTCTAACAAATTTCCAAACAATGACGTGACTACTGCTGGTTCCACGCTTCCTGGACAGCCACTATCCACAAATACAGACAACAAAAGTCAACTAGCCAAGAGCCGTGCACGTCTTTCTTGTCCATTCTTATCAAGCAGAGGGGAGGAAGCAATGGAAAGCCACCCAGGTGTTGGTTTTAATCCTAGCCCTTGTCAGAGTGCCCTTTAAAATTAGTAAGTTTATCCTTGAAAAAAATATAGGGCACTTTATCCCCACTGAGTCTGGCTATATATCATACTATTTTTGAATTTACTAATTTCTGATAAATAAGCCAGGAAAAGCCTATTTCCACTTGAAGAAAAACCTTACAGCTTGGTTGCTTTCTCCCTTTCCAGATGGCTTCTAGGACACCCCTCACATCTGGATGGGCCAAGTGGGAGCCCAGCCCGGGGCAGTTAAGAATCAGAGGGAGCTTTAAAAAAAAAAGCACTTTCAGAGACTGCATGTAGCTCTCGCTCAGTGACAGGGTGTGTGCTCAGCAGCTGTGCAGCTCTAGGTCCAGTTTCCAGTATACCTACCCCCCTCCCCCAAAAGAAAATCAATCCCTAAACTCCATCGGTGGGACCCTTGGTGGCCCTTGCTTTATCCCACAGACATTCTTCCTGGGAAGACATCAGCAACAGGGTCACACTTGTGCTTCACCAATCATGAAACTTCAGCCCAGTCTGTTTTCTGCTGTGCTAGAAGGTACAGATCAGACTTGGTCCTACCCCAAGGCTGACAAAAAGCTTAACTAGAGTTGGGTCCTCGACTGCCATTGAGGCCAGAGAACAGGGTCAAAGGTTTTAGTCAGAAAACAAGGCTGGGCAATCTCATTCCCAACATCCTCTCAACAACTGAGTAGCCTCTGGATGGCTCATACCACCCTTAAAAACTGGCAAGACTAGCCAGGAGCCAGTGGCTCACACCTGCAACCCTGCTAAGGAGGCTGAGATCTGAGGATCACAGTTTGAAGCCAGCTTAGACAGGAAAGTCTGTGAGACTCTTATCCCCACTATACTACCAAAAATAAGCCAGAGATGGAGCTGTGGTTGAAGTGGTAGATTTCTAGCCTTGAGCAAAAGAAGTTCAGAACAGTGCCTAGCTCCTGAGTTTAAGTCCCAGGTCTGGGGCTTACACACACACACACACACACACACACACCACACATGTAAAATGCCTTCTCATAAAGATCTGCTTACACACACACACACACACACGTAAAATGCCTTCTCATAAAGATCTGCTTAAACACACACACACACACACACATAAAATGCCTTCTCATAAAGATCTGCTTAAACACACACACACACACACACACACGTAAAATGCCTTCTCATAAAGATCTGGCTGCAACTCCATGACCATGTATTGTTCTTGCAGGGCAGGCAAATAGGAATATAAACATTTACATAGCCATGCGAAGAACAATCCTGGACAAGGCTTTTATCAAAATGAATATGACACCAAGGTGTTAGTTCAGAGGGAAATAATTTGTTTCTCAGCCCTCCATAGATAGCCAAGTTAGCAATGAGACTAACACATCAAGAACTTCCAAGGCTGTATAATTAGCCGCAATTTAACCAAGGTGCCATGTAACTTTCACAGCTTTGGGGTCTGTCCAAAAGGAAAGGGAGGGAAAAATTAGGAGTGAGGGAAGGGGTAACACTGTCCAAAAAGATACGTACTCTTTACATGACTTACGCAAATGTAACCCCTCTGTACTTCACCTCCATAATAACAATTTGAAAATGTTGTAAAGCGTCACAAAGCTGTGGTGAGGAGCTAATAAGCACAGGTTAGCAGCTATCAACATTGTTCTGTCATGGAGGCCAGAGCTTTAAGTACCTTAACCTGTCTGACAGCATGTGTGTGGCGCTCAATGGCCCAGTCCAGGAAGCAGTGTGGATGAGCTGTAATTGCTTCCTGTCCAACAACAGGCCTGCTCTTTTGGAGTTCTACCCACTCTGTCATCAAGCACCAAGTTTCAGGCATGAGATTCTCACTGCCTTGCTGTGCTGTTCAGGCCCAAAGAATTGTTCTACTCCACTTTTAACTCCATTCAACACCAGACAGCAGTTTCTCAGAAAGCATTATCAAATAAACAGGTGACAGAGGTGTCCATGCTTACATACAACAGACCAATGTCCTCATGGAGTAAGACCACTGTAAATGTAAGTGAGTATTTTGGAGGGTAGAAACTGAGGATAACTCAGCATAAAGAAAGACTACCTGTGCTCACCAGGCCAGCCAGGTGAACCCATTGACCCTATCGGAAGCAAAATTCCCAGAGGAGTGAGTTCTGGGTCTCCTGTCACCTGGCCAGGCCCTCACAGGGTCTGATTTCAGGAACTGATCACAGGGAGGGTGCACAGTGACAGAGGCTGATATGTTTAGGATCCCTTGGTTTTACCTTCTCTCTACTCCTGGTGAGCAAAGAACATGCTTTTACTCGGGGCCTCATGCTTGCTCAGCTGGTATTCTACTGCTTGAGCCATTCTGCTAGCCCTGCTTTTTCCTAGTTATCTGGAGGAGTCTTGTGGGTTTTTCTGCCCAGGCTGGCTTTGTATCAAGATCCTCCGAGTCTCAGCCTCATGCTAGCTAGGAGTACAGCATGAGCCACTGGCACTGCCAGAACGTTCTTTTTTAATAACTTGGAAGGGAGGGAGATGTCAGTAAGGAGGAGACAGGAAAAATGAGAAGTCATTCATTTCGTATTTTAGAATTTGCTTTTCAGATAGTCCACTTTTGTTTACAAATTCATCTTGTGATACAAACAATATGAAGTCCACTCAGTTGACACGTTCCCATTTATCATTCAAATGCTATGAATGTGTTTGAAAAGTAACAGGAAATAGGGACCCTTGTGGTTTCACTTTATGGCCAGGGAAACAACTGAAAGAAAAAATTTTGGCTCTGTCACCTTTACTTAGAGAAGGTAAGACACTGAACAGAGACAGATTTCTGTTGGAGTTAAGACTAGATTTCTTTTCACAGCCCTTCATCTCACGAGGTGAGAAGGAGTGCACGTTGCCAAGCTGTTGGCTACCAGACCCATCAGTCTGCTTAACTCTGGCTAAAAGCAGAGAGTAATGGGCAAGTGCCAAGTTTCCCCTTCAGCACTGGCATGGATTCTGAAATTATGGAAGATACTTCTATCTAGCTCTAGCTTTCTCTACACAACACACACACACACACACAGAGTGTAATTCCATTTGCCAAAAAGTCCAAAGCATACATAGCATTGTGATTTTTCAGTCCAAACAAAGACAAAACCAAATGTAAGACTGAAAACTAAAGGTATTTTGGTTTTCCAGTTGGATTCAGTCTCTGGCAAAAGTCTCTCAATGGATTATTTCTTATCTCCCAGCCCCCCAATCAGCTAAAATGTTCTAGTAAACATACATTGAGCTCTCTCCGATATCCATCACATTCTGCCAGTTCTTTAAAAATGATGAACATGAGACTCAGAGCAGAAGGGGGCAGGGGAAAACGCAGCTGGTACCAGAAGCAATCAGAAGCAGCAGGGGCCGTTTCTCCTCTCCCTGTTCCAGGACATGGGGTGAAGAGACCACGTATATCCCCTGGATCACGGAGGAGCAAGAATTTGTCCTGAACAATAAATGCAGGCCTCTGGCATGTTCTCTCTGGCTGCCACTTTCGGGCCTGAGTGGAGAAGGTGCCTCCCTCTGCAGTGTCTGCCAGGCAGGCACAAAATCTGGCCAGGACTAAGTCAGCCCCCGGCAGGAGTAGGATGGCCAGAGGAAGGACACCTATGTTGGAAGCTTTCTCCAAACAGTTCTCTATTCAGCTTTGGCCCAATCAGGGCTACAACAGCCACAGTTGAGCCAATACCTTAAATGAGTGAGAGAACGTGACAATTCAAAATAGTGCAAACAAAAACCCAGGAAGTCACAAAAGTTGGAGTGTTTGCTAATGAGAGAATCTTCTCCGTAATCACTAGCCATGTTCTAAACAGGCCAAAAGACACACAAGCTGGTCATGGCAGGACAGCAGCGTGGCTTTTAAATGGGGTAATTTTAATCCTTTGAGATTCGAACTGCTTCTTGAAACGTAGAGTGTGAATTACAGTACTTAGATATGGTCCACATTTATCTGTAACAAAAGACATCTATATTTTAATGCAAATCTAAGGACCATTTCTGGGGTAAATTTATACAAGACAGTGACATACATACATATATATATGTATATATACATGTGTATATATGTCTATAGATGTTATAAAACATAAAGAACCTAACACTCTACATTTGAAGCCCTTTGTAAGATTCACTTTATTTCTGATTTGAAAAGAAATAACTTATTTATGTCTCAAGCATCAGTGTAAACATGGATGCCAACCATCCTTTCAGTTTTACAAATCTGCTTGTGTCTTCATCAACAGGCAGATCTCCTTACTTACCATGATCTTAAACAAGATAAAATATCCTTCTTTAAAAAATTGTTACAAATATTTATTAAAAAGTGCAATTCAAAAGTTAGCTAGGCAAGCACATCATTGCAAATCACAAAAACAGGAGAAAAACAAAACAAAACCCAGAAACAAAACCACAGGAAATACAAACAAAACAACAACAAAAAAGGTTAGCGTGCTGAGAAATACACAAAAGGACAAGGAAAAGAAAAGTCAAAATTCAAACTGTCCAGATATTGCTGCTCTTTCCAAGTGCAAAGGACGATGGTGAGGAGAGACGGGCAGCCTCCATCGCCCAGCTCTGGCTCTGGGTCCAACTACGACTTTGTATCAGGGCAGTTATAAAAAATCTCCTATATACATGTGCACATCTGAGGCATTTACAAATCATCAGAAGCTTGCCATTTAGTGTCTCAGCAGTTTGGCTACTCAAAACTCAATTAAAGCATCTATCATTGAATTTGGACTGGCTCAGTTATTTGAATGGATGATAAGGTCAAGCTGTCATCTTAGGGAACAAAAGAATCAAGTTCAATTATGCAACTTTGCTATTTCTCACAGGTCAAGCGAAGTCTGGTCCAGACCAGCCTTTTCGTGTCATGACAGAATTTGTGGAAATGTAGTAAACTCATTAACCACTCTCCTTGCACAGGGCCACAAGAATGAGTGTAGTGGAGGGAGATCCAGGATCCCAACCTATCTGCTGTGCTACTGCACGGTTCAGCAACGGTACATTTAAGGGTCACCCTAAAACCACAGGCTGCACCACTGGGGACAGTAACAAGAAGTCAGCAAATCTGGCCTTGACTTCCAGCAACTTCACCAACTTTCCCTGAACTATATCACTGCAGGTTCTGCTGATCTTCTCGAGAGTTCTGGCCATCACAGCTATGGGTGGCTAGTGCCAGGCCCCACAGTGCTCCATTATTTCCCAGTAGCCATTTCTACCACCAAAAGTGCACATGGAAAAGCAATTTAATCTCCGATCTTATCCCTGAAAACTGAACACTGCATTTGCTGTCATCGATGCTCAGGAGCCTTTGTCCTCACCGATGAGCAGCTAAGAAGCCTGAAGCAAAGGGAACTGAACATGCCCAGCCTCCCGAATTCCTGACAAGTTTGAGGGGACCGCAGCACCTGTCTGAACAGAAGAAAAAAGCTGCCAGAAACAAAAGGATGAGCGACAGAACACTAGTGGGTCTAATTCACCTGCATGACTCAGAGTCCCTCCTGAGGGATGGAGGTCCAGCAAGGCTAAGCAGTGGCTGGCTGTCCCAAGACAAGACAGGTGGCAGACTGTCTCTGTCACCCAAGCAGGAGTGCAGTCATCTCTCCACTTCTTGCCATCCCTTCCAGCACTGGGAGAGAAGAGCAGCCTCTGCTGTGGAAGGTCAGCACGGAGGCACGTTTCCAAGAGAGGAATGTGAGGATGGAGGGTGCTTGCTGCTCCTCTCCCCTCCGTCCATGTGCAGGAGCCCGCAGCAGGCACGTCACAGCGTGAGGAAGAGAATCAACACAACCAACAGGACTGTGAGGAGGATGGCTATGGCACACCACTGGCGGCGATCTGGAAGGCAAGACATGAAGATTTACCCTCCCAGGACGCTGCACTCCCAGACACACACATACATGGGATTTCAGACAAGACCTCTGAAGCAGAAATGGGCAGAGCATGCAAATGACAGGGGCAGAGAGGATCTTGAACCTGCCAAAGTCTGGTTCTCTATTGTTCTGCCCTTGGCCTGCCTGACACTCACTTTTGCAATGGCCAGTGCCCCCAAAATGTGCCTCATACTAAGTACATGCTTTGAGTCCCAAGCCTTTCATCAAAATCCAGGCATCTCAGCTTTCTGCTGGTGGTTAGTGAATTCTTAAAAAAAAGGTGCTGGCATTGGAATTACAGATCCAAGTCTGTCTGCATTCATCTCCCACCAAAGTTGTCATTTAACTCAACAGTGATCACATTGCTTTCTCAATAGGTATACTGCAGAAAGATGGAAGGGAGATGAAGGCCACTGCTGGTCACTTCAGGATATGAACAGTGGGGGGAAGGGGGGAGCTCCAGTGAGAAAGGGTAAGTAATTTCACATCACTCCTAGTCGAGTAAGATGACTTAACCAGTAACCGTATCGAAGTAATTTATACAGCTCATCTGTAAATGAAAGCCAAATGTCTTTTCTGGAACCTTCTGTGTACCAATGATTTCCAACAGCAGTCACAGGGAACAATGTGGCAGGAGTTCCTTTGAATGGCTGACAGCAGGACAGAGGGCCATAGCCAGACCCAGGGGAAATCTACTCCAGCCTACAATCCTAACAGCAGCCCCCTAACTCCATGGCCACCTCAAAGGACTACGGTGTGAGTTAGATAACATAGATGACATCACGTGATGTGCAGGACCCAAACTTGAGGCACAGAGGATGCCACCAATCAGCAGGATGTTTCCTTAACTTGGGAAGATACAGAAAGGACAAGCAGTATTTCTACAGGTGAATCCTAGTGTCTTCCCTACGGGCAGACTGATACAAGAGTTCACTAGCTAATGAAAATGAAGTTGAATTACTAGGGATAAGAGGCTTATTTAAATAGAAGCATTAGTTATGGAAAGTCCATAGATTTTAGTTCATCATACCTTTTTTTTTTTGTCAGTCATGGGGCTTGAACTCTGGGCCTGAGTGCTGTCCCTGTGCTCTTCAGCTCAAGGCGAGCACTCTACCGCTTGAGCCACAGCGCCACTTCGGTTTTTTAGTGGTTTATTGGAGATAAGAGTCTCACGGACTTTCCTGCCTGGGCTGGCTTTGAACCGTGATCCTCAGATCTCAGCCTCCTGAATAGCTAGGATTACAGGTGTGAGCCACTGGCACCCAGCCCCATCATACCTTTTCTGCCATACTGTAAGAAGATCTGGCATAAGAAAACAGATAGTAAAATTCTCCATAAAGCAAAACGTGGACTTAATACATGTCATGAATTATCAAATTCTTTCAACTAGCCAAGAGATGGCCTCCAAACTACAGCAATGTGCTCCTCTGTCTGCCTCAGGCACACCAGAACCTCATCTAGTAACTTTATGATTAGATCACTTTATCTTAACCAACAATAAGCTAAGTAAATTGAAAATTCAACAAACTCCTCTTAGACCCATCAAAGAAGGAAGGCCACAGGAGGGACTGCTGTGGTGAATAATGGAGAAAACAACTACTGAACACAAAGCTCACACCGTAAGAATGGAACACCCCCATACCCTAGCAACCCCCACCTTTCAGAACCAGTGCTGGGGTAGAGAAACCTACTTGGGAATTGGTGAACTGCTGGAGGCTCAGTATAGACAAGTCTATGCCAGAGCATTCTGCTCCTAACAAGACCAGCCTTCCAAGGAGACTATGTTACTACAGTGTAAGTGTCTGGGTTTATGGGTCTGTCTGAGCCTGACCTGGGAGGTGGGAAGTAACCACCCTTGCCATATTCTGACCGTCTTGTCATGGGTGTTAGTGAGGACTGTTAGGATATCACCAGAGACACTATTCACAAAAGTAGCAACTGGTACCACAGCTTCACACACACGCATGCGCACACACGACAAACCACAGAGTGGGATAAAATATTTGCAAAAGATACATCTGATAAATGACTATTATCTAAAACGTACAAAGAACTTCAAAAATTCAACAGTAATAAAACAATCTGATTTTAAAATGGTCAAAAGACCTAACAGACACCTACCTCATTAAAGCTAAACAGATGTCAAGAAGACATACAAAAAAAAAAAAAGTTCCACATCACATGTCTTAAGGAAGTGGAGGTATAGCTCAAGTGGTAGAGTGCCAGCCTTTAGTAAACAGAATAGCTAAAAACAAAAATACTGATCAGATGCTAAAGTCTAGTAAAGGATGTACAGTGACAGGAATCCTGGTGGAAATGCAAACTGGTATAGCCACCTGAGGAAAAAAATTCAGTGCTTTCTTACAAAACTAAATGTATTCTAGCCATAACCATCAAGCAGTCATGTTCCCTTTTACTTAGCAGCTTTGTTCCTAACTGCCAAACCTGATCAAGGTGTCCTCTGGTGGGCGAATGGATAAATGGAGCAGTCCTACCCACTTCCATGGCTTTCCTCTCCATTCCTCCACGGTTTCAGATAGCTAAAGTTCACTGGGGTCTGAAAATGCTAAGCAGAAAATTCCAAAAATAAACCCACCATCCTACTCCATCCAGCCTAGACTGTGAATCACTGCTTTATCCACCGTATCCACCCTGTATGTGCTAATCACCCCAAGTCACTTAAGGGCCACTCTGGTTATCAGATCAAGGGTATCACAACATTTATGTTCAAGTGCCCTTGCACAGGAGATAAGTCATACTTCACTATGCGGATGTCATCTCCCTCACTTCTTCTTCTCACGCAGCCCTGTATTACCTTACACAATCATAAGAAAAATGGCAAACAGTATAGCAATATGTTTTAAGGAATATTTTGAGAGACTGCATTCGTATAACTTTCACTGCTGAATACAGTTACAGTTGTTCTACTTTATTGTTCTATTAGGCTGTTGTTAATCTTTCACTGTAACTAATAAATTGGACTTTATGAGAGGTGTACATGCACTCTAAAAATTGCAGATCATGGGCTGGGAATGCGGCTTAGTGGTACAGTGCTTACGCAGTATGCATGAAGCCCTGGGTTTGATTCCTCAGCATCACATAAACAGAAAAACCGGGAAGTGACGCTGTTTGACTCAAGTGGTAGAGTGCTAGCCTTGAGCAAAAAGAAGCCCAGGAATAATGATCAGGCACTGAGTTCAAGCCCCAAGACTGGCAAAAGAAAAAAAAAGTTGCAGAATATGTAAGGTTTGGTCCTATCCCATTAAAGGTCTTAGAACTCACAGATAAGGGAAAATAACTATAAACTATGGTATATTCAGATAATGGAATATTATTCAATACTAAAAGAGAAATGAGCTATCAAGCCAAGAGAAAGTTTGGAGGTAACTCACATGCACCACTGAGATAAGCCAATTTGAAAAGACTCCACATTCTATGATTCCAACTATATGAATATTGGAAAAGACAAAACTACAGAAAGAGTAACGTGGTTGGATCAGTGGTTGCCAGGGCTTACGAAGGTGGAGGGATGAACAGAAAAGCAAATTAAAGCTGTAATTAAAAAAGACAAAAGACAAAAAAACCCAACCTCACAATGAGATGGGGTGATCGGTCCCCTGTTGTCCCACCCTACCACAATAAGAATGGCTATGATCAAAAAGATAAACAAGAACAAATGCTGGTGAGAATGAAACAGAAACATGTTACACTTTCCAGAATATAAATCAGTGAAGCCACTATGCAAAATAACTGAGGTTTTGAAAAGAATGAAACATAGCTCCTATAACCCAGTAATCTCACTGCTGGGAAGAAAGGGAAATGAAATCAACATAGTGAAAAGACAACCTATTCCCATGTTCATTGTGGCATTGTTCACAACAAATAAGATATGGACTAAGTTTAAATCGCCACCAACTGAAATACAAAGAAAACGTGGCATATGTGCATGGTGGATTACTATTCAGCCATAGAAACAGGAAATCCTGTTATTTTCAACAGAGCAATGAAAGGACATGCTGTCAAGCCAGGCACAGAAAGGTAACCGCCACATGATCTCCTCGTATGTGGAGTTTTGAAAAGCTGATGTCAGAAAAGCTGAGCAAAGAACCGTGTTTACTAGTGACTGGAGGGAAGGAGGAAGGGAAGAAGAGGAAGTAGGGAGAAAGAAGGGAGCGAGAAAAGATAGGAAGAGGGAAGAGGTAGATCAACAGGGACAATGGTAGTTTGAAGCCAAGAATTAAATTGTGCTGTTTTAGGCTACATTGGGGTGAATATAATTTAAAAAAAACTAATTTGACATAGGTCAAATTAGTCAGAAGATTCTGAATGTACTCACCATAAAAAAAAAAAAAGGTAAACCTTTAAGGTACTGAATATGCTAATTACCGCCAGTTGATCGCCAGGCAAGGTGAATCAAAACATCACTCTGTGCTTCATGAATACATGCAAATAATGTATGTCAATCCAAAAAATTAAGTTAAGAGAAAAAGAGCCAGGCGCCAGTGGCTCATACCTGTAATCCTAACTACTCAGGAGGCTGAGATCTAAGGATCATGGTTCAAAGCTAGCCTGGGCAAGAAAGGCCATGAGACTCTTAACTCTAACTACCAGAAAACCAGAAGTGGTGCTGTGGCTCAAGTGGTAGAGTACTTGCCTTGAGCTGAAGAGCTCAGAGGCAGCACCCTGGCCCAGAGTTCAAGACCCATGACTGACTAAATTAGAGAGAGAGAGAGAGAGAAAATATTCTTTTTTTTTTTTAGGTCCGGTCGTGGGGCCTGAACTCTGGGCCTGGGCGCTATCCCTCAGCTCTTCAGCTCAAGGCTAGCGCTCTACCTCTTGAGCCACAGCGCCATTTCCAGCTTTTTTCTTTTTGCTTATGTGGTGCTGAGGAATCGAACCCAGGGCCTCATGCATGCAAGGCAAGCGCTCTACCACTGAGCCACCTTCCCAGCCCAAGAGAAAATA